CAGTTTTTATTTGAAGTATAATTAAGCAGTCGGGTTTTTTGATTTTTTAAATTTACCTTTTTTTGAATCGCTCGCTTTGCGCTCGCAACTAATTTTCATTCGACAAAATAAATTACCTATTTTGAATTGCTCAAGTGCAACGACTGGTTGAGACCACTTATCCGAATCCGAATGGCGGAGGCGAACGATAGAATAATTGTCAAATTTGTGTCAAACATTATCAAGATTTTTCTTCAATCTTTTTGAAATTACAGATAAAATGACGTTGTGACTTTTTGAACTTTTCTAAAAAAAGTCAAAGGATAATAATTGTATTATAGAGAAATTTACTGAGATTTTTACATTTCATTTTAATTGCGGTAGTTACCGGTTTTCATTACAGGCTTTTTAGCCTGTCTCCTACATCAATGAGTTCTAGTAACAATTTGTAGAAAACAAAACTGATCTTCTATAAAAGGGGGCTACGATTCGAGCAGAAAGCCATTTTAAGTATGTACAGCATAAATATATTAGAATATCGAAATGGTGTAGTACCCATTAGACCCTCAAGATTTGACCCGAAAGCAAAAAGTGCCCATTGGACCTCATTTATATAGCCCATTGGACCTTCTTAAAAATTTAATATTCTCCGTGGCCGAGTGGTTTGTACGCCGGGTTTCACGGTGTCGCCGACTCGAGAGGTCCGGGTTCGAGTCCCGGTGGGGGCAAATATTTGTGTGATGAATATGAGCATTTGTACTCCATTCATGGATGTAAAATATTTATTTCTATTTAAATATACTTATATATGTACAGTATATGTATTCATTCGTTACCCTAGCATCCCATAACACAAGACTTACAGTGCTTACTTTGGGGCTAGGCTAATTGGTGTGAGTGTTGGAAATATTTATTTATTTATTTTTAGTGCCCATTAGACCTTCAAGATTAGACCAAAAGGTCATCATTTATACGCTAGTTTCGTGACATTTGGCTATATTTACCTGCAGCGACTGCAGTCTAATAGGTAATTGTAAAATGTCTGTCCATTTACAATAATGTCACGGCTCCTACTCGATGCTAAATGTTATATGAACTTTTTAATTGTCCCATGAAATTAGGACACATCAATGAGCAGCTCAAATTTTTCGCGCGTTTTGGTCTTAATTTGAGTGTTGCCAAAGTAAAATATACATAAAAGTTTCTCATAACGCAGTAGGTGAATACCAAGGGTTGGACCAAGGGTTCAAAATGGACTTTTGGGATTATTTTCTGGAAACATTAATCTGGTTTACATTTCATTACTACAAGAACTATTGTATAACAGAAAAGTAATAAACAGTGGATATATTTTTCACCTTACAACTATGTGAATGTAGCGAACTGGCCAAGCCACATATTTTTACTAAGGTATAGTGTAAGGTTTGTGATGTTTTACTAGAGTTAGGGCGTGTAGAGTTAGAAGCTTGGCTCTACATGAGATGTGATAACTTTTTTTTACTTTAACATTTAAATAATGCAAATATTTTTGGTGGGAACTTGTCTAAGGCCGTAATTCGTAATTTTTAGATTTGAACGTTATTATATAGGATTGTTTTAGCAAACACTAAATATTTTTTTAAATATTATTCAAAGATACATTATGAGGTAGCTGAGAAAAGAATGAACATTTAATAAAACTAGTTTTAACGGGTTAATGCACGAACTTTATTTATTTATTGACGTATCGCAGCCTTTTCAGGTCTGCATCGTCAGACTAATGATTCTTTATTTACTTTGTCGAGCTACCTTCCAAAGACTTTTATTGAGCGTTCGGATATTTCATTGGAAGATTTTTAAAACTTTATTGTCTATGTATGAGTAACTAGTTTTATTTAATGAGTGATGTGCGTGAAAACCTAAGAAACAAATAAAGAATGAACATTTGTTGTCCGTCTACCTGTCAAGACGGACCTTTATCTCGGAAACGCGTTGAGATAGCAAATTGAAATTTAAACCATATTATGGCCGTTTATGTTGCGTTCCTACGAATTCGTACGGCACCCTCGGTGGTCCGGTTTTTTTTTATTAATATTAAAGCTCTAGACTTGCTCTAGCTAGGCATACTAATAAAAATACATGCGATACATAACTATGAGTTTCCTTTCGTTTACTAGATTACCTAGGTACATACGAGGAAGCGGCTGGATCTAGGTCGGATCAATTAACAATAATGAACAGCTCGACATGTGTTTGTTGTGTGTTTGTGTACTCGGCTAATGGTCGAGCGGATCATCCCATTTTATTAGCTCGAAACGAGTGATAGAGTGACCTAGTGAGAGAATGTGCCCTAAAGCAAACAAAATATGTAGTGGCGGAACTTTCCCAATTTGACAAACGAAGGCTAAGGGTGCGGCCAGAGTGCACTCAGATTCAGATTCAGATTCAGATTTCGAAAACAAGCGCGAGAAATAAACAGTGTAGTCGAAGGGTACGGCCAGATTGCACTCCTGATTTAGATTCAGATTCAGACTCAGAAAACAAAGCGCGAGAAAAAGCAGGCAACCTGCTTAGACTACACTGTTTATTTCTCGCGCTTGTTTTCAGAATCTGAATCTGACTCTGAATCTGAGTGCACTCTGGCCGCACCCTAACACTGAGACCCTGGGGGCTATTCTCTTTCTCCGAAACGACTTTCGATATCGAAGTTAAAACAACATTGAATTTCGTCAATTTAAGGTTATACTTAATTTGAACAATAAACTATAAAATTGAGTAGGCTTACAAAATCTACACAAATAAATTTAGTTTTTCGTTAAATTAGAGTGGGCGTACTGTTTATTAAAGGCTGTTCAACGATGAAATTAAATAACAAGCCGTTAAATCTGTTTAACCTGTAAATTGAGTAGCTGAAAGTCTAATCAACTATATCACTGGGTCAGATGCTTTGAGTAATCAAAGGTCAGAAGATGCAGAAAAATTATTACGGCAAGTTCCATTTCGGGAGCGTCTAGAACCTTTCGTGTCTTCATTTCAAAAACTCAAACTGATGAAAGATTTTTTTCTAGTAAACTTTTTGTTTAGTTTGTAAGCAACTGGTGCACTTCAAGTATAGCTATCATTGCCTGTGTAGCACAGGAGTTTCGTATTCCATGTTGATTAACATAACAATCGTTTCCTATAAATCTATAAGTAATCAATAATACACTCATCGACACTGCAGGAAGTAAACAATATCAAACTCGGAACGACTTGACTTCTCTACAATACAAAGTTTAAGCACACACCTGTATACGTTTTGAGACTTCATCAAAGTCATTACTGATCGGTTCCTACCTCATGCATGAGTAAAGAAGGTACAGAAGAGGCAAAGCTTCATGGAGTGCGCGTGTGTGAGTGAGCACTGGCGCCTGTTGCGAACGTAGAGAAACGTTTTTATTGGCGGAGACAGGCCGCTAGCACAAAATAGATAGTATAGAAGGTAATCTACATACAAATTACGCTCGGGAACCGCACACATAGACACCGCTCACGGACATGATATCTCGGACTACTTGTAACCACTGCAAGCGCTAGTTTGATCCGCTTGAGACCCGCGTCCGTTTTTTGTGCAAAATGGAGCAACAGAAGAATATTATAATATCTGTTCAGTGGACAGTTGTTTGAGTTCATTATCTGGTATTGAACTCAAACAACTGTCTAGTGGACAGATTGTCGTTTTTCTTAACTTGCACCTGATATTATAACAAAAACATTAAAATTTAAATACTTTAGTTATTATTGTTGTACATTTCCATTCTTCTCCGAAATTAAACAGCAGTTTGAGTGCCACTGTTAAGATATTTTTTGTGTACAAGCTAAAATTGGCAAACCTAGCGCGACCGCCGAGCGTAGGTATTAATTTGTGAAGAAAGCATGAGATAACCTTCATGTGCTACCTATTTTGTGTCGCCAGTGCCTATACTCACTCACGCGCACCGCATGATGTTTTGCCTCTGTGTTATCTTTACTCAGGTGGTTCCTAATGTTGAAATGCTATGATGAGAGAGGTAGTTATAATTCAATGTGATACGGTGCTAACGAATTTCGTTCTGTTGCGGACGCATCAATATTCTATACGAGTGTTTAGGCCGACACGCGGTCTTTCGCAGCGTTCTAATGTTCTAACGCCGCCATAGACTTAGGAAGGACGAAAACAAAAAAAAAACTGTTATGGAAAGTAATATAAGGAGTTGTCGAACAAAACGGTATAACATACAAAACATACAAAACATACATAACAAAAGTTTAAAAAAATATAAGTGTAAAGCTATTAAAAATGATATGATTTCATTTTAGACAAAATAAAGAATAAATAGTTATATTAGAAATTGGAGTCATTTGTATTTTGAAGGGGGTGACTTTGAGATAAGATGACCAAATCCTAGAAATTTTTTGAAGACCTTAGGAGTTCTTTTGACAAATAAAGGCGTTTTATGTCGCAGGCAGATTTTACATTTAGCCATAATAATATTATATGTCATTTTTACTTATCTTATATTATTATAGTCCTTGAAAACAAAGGATACGAACAAATACTAAAAAAAGACACCTTGCAACGTTTAGTAAAAGCACTCTGACTAACTGCAGAAATAAACACTAATGATTTTTATAATTTTTATTTTTCCAGCATGTACTGCTTGATGTTAAAATCTAAAGAAAATATAACTAGAAAAAATTCCACGCGGACCAGGCAGCAGACGGAACTCGAACCCGCACCCTTCGCTATCCGGGCGGATGCACTAAAGATTTTTATTATTTGGCTTTAATTTTTCTTATGCTACCCCGGCGAGCCCTCTTTAACTATTTTTCTATGCGTACCTATTTATTATAGTTATTTATCAGAAAAATTATATACCAAAGCATAATAATGTCCCTTCTTGTCTCGTCCTTCTTAATTCTACGTCACATTTTGTATGCTACACCACTGTAATCGTGACGGCACAAAGAAGCGTTTAGTATGATAATGTGGGCTTTGAGTCCACCCGTGGGGTGGTTCATGAATGAAAACCGTTTGGGCTCGTTCGGCTTTTGAGAAAAAGTGTACCTTTTGCCTTTGTAGCGGTAAGATTGCTTGATATGTTCGTCGCTTCGCAGTCGTTCTAAATAAAACCATCGTTTAGTTTGCGTGTCTTCTACTAGGTTTACCTGAGAGATATTCGAGAAATAGGTATTTGAAGAAACTATTGCTGTCGCTCATTTGCAAATACCGTGCGATAGGGACAACAGTAGCTAACACTGAAAATTGCGTATAAAAATTGCAAAATTCGAAGTTTAACTCTGCCCCCCTAGCGATATATCGGCATTAACTGTCAGACTACTGTCAAACTCCACTGTCAGAGTACAGTACTGTCAAACTCCACTGTCAGACTACAGTGGAGTTTGACAGTAGTCTGACAGTTAATTATGATATATCGTTCATCTTTATCATATCCCGCTTCGGTGGTCATATATTTTGCCCATAGAATAATAAGGTAGTCTTAGGCCTCTATGTTTTCCTTTTATTGTAAATGCTTATTAAATCTCCACACTAGACATCTTAAGTGGCGATAAAAATTTGTTTAGTTCTGACCATTATGCTACTGCGGGCCTAATAGCCCTGTCGAATTTTCTCTAATATTTCTTAGGCTGCAAGGCAACGCCATTTTTACTTACTGCAGATAACCCACAATGATGCTATATTGATGATTTATTTCTAGTAAAAAGTGCTTTAGAATTAAAATCAGGTTTTCTTAAATACTAAATCTAAATTAAAATAAATGAATCCAATTTCTTTTTTACAGATGCGCACTCTATGCATCGACGCGAAGCAGATGATGACTACTTCATGGGAGATGAAGCGAACGATGATGAGGCACAAAACGATGCTGATCGAGGTAAGGTCCAGATTTCACGTGTTTTACCCTTTCTGCCCCTCTAGCATGACCACCGAAACGGGATATAATAAAGCGATATATCGGCATTCACTGTCAGACTACAGTGGAGTTTGACAGTAGTTTGACAGTTAATGCCGATATATCGCTTTACCATATCCCGTTTCGGTGGTCATGCTAGAGGGGCTGGCATCTTCAATGGGTGACCTAACAAAGTGGGCGTTGTGCAGAATGCACCATTGACTTGCACCATCAATGGTGCAGATGAAACTGATAGGTTTCATTTGCACCATTAATACCTATATGAATCTACTATTTTCCCATTCTTTCCACGTCATAAAAAACTAAAAATCTTAGAACCTAAGATCTTACCTCTCATTCTTAAAATCTTATATTCTTTCAATCGTTTACTAATCGTTCCATCTCACAATTCCGATATCATTCACTCTTCCTTCTTCGTCAAAACTATACTTTTGTGGAACGAACTCCCTTAGACTAGACATAGGCTAGACATTAGAATCCTTCAAAACCAAGCTGCGAAGCTTTTTATTGGAACAGGCGTTTCGTTAAGTAGTTTGTCGTCATGTATGTATTTATGTATATGTATATGTTTAGTGATATTATTTGTATATATTTACTAATATATATTATTGGTATATTATTATTAGTACTATTCATATTTCTTTAAAAGTGATCTCCACCTCAGTTGTGCACCCTGCCACTACAATCTCTACAACGCCCTATTGTTGACTGGTACAGAATGCCTACGGCATTAAGTCCGCCATTGTACAGTATGTGCATGAAGAATAAAATAAATAAAAATAATGTTAAGAAACAAACGAAAGCCGAATAAACAAATCAACTCCAAATGCTCGATACTGTTCATTAAGGCGATTATCACACGGCACCGCGCACCGCCGCGGCAGGCGGTGAAGCGGATCTCATGTCGCATAAGCCTCTACTAAATCCGTTGATACTAAACACATGTTCACCGCCCGACCGCGCGGTCGAGCGGTGCTCTCGCCGCCACCGCCTCTCCGCGCGGACGGCAGCGCGGAGGGGCGGCACCTCACACACGTGGCACCGCATAACCGCGCGGAACATCGTGGAAGCAAGACGTGTCGCAATTTAAAAATGGATTTCGATGTCGAAAAGTTTATTTCAGAGATTCAAAGTCGCTCTGCTATCTGGGACATGAAAAGCACACAATATAGTGATAGACTCCTAAAACTGAAACAATGGGAAGAAATTGTTACCTTATATTTGGAGCCAGGACAAACTTCTGACAAAGAAAAGAAAGAACTCGGTAAGTTTTAAAAAAATATTTATTTTAAATTTAAGCATACTGACTTTGCCATGGTAGCGGGTTCTCATTTACAAAATAATCAGCTAAATTATTACGGATCGCTGCAGCACTTGTGCTTCCTCTGCAATTATTGTCTATCGGTATATTAACTATTCCCTCCGTCTCATTGTTTGTATATAAAATATCCTTAAAATCAACGCCATGTCTTTCCCTAACAAAATTATGAAGTATACAACATGCTTTAATAATTTTTATAGATAAAATTCTGTTTACGTTCAAAGGGCGTTGAAATATACGCCATTTATGTGTTAAAATACCGAATGCACACTCAATATATCTACGTGCCCTGCTCAAGCGATAATTAAAAACTCTTTTAGTGTAATTTAAGTGATGTCCTGCATAGGGTCGTAGAACATTGTTTGAGATATTGAAAGCTTCATCTCCGATAAAAAAATATGGTACGGAATTGGTGATACCAGTAATTGCAGAGGAGTTTGGTATATTAAGAGTTCCATCTTGAAGTTTTTGGTAAAAAATGGAATCACGAAAAACTGTAGAATCACTGCATTTCCCATAAGCACCTATGTCAACGTATATAAATTTGTAATTAGAATCACAAATAGCCAGCAGTAAGATGGAAAAATAATGCTTATAATTGTAGTACAGCGATCCAGTTAGAGATGGTTTGATAACACGCACATGTTTACCGTCTAAGGCACCTAAAACATGAGGAAAATTGGCTCTTGACTTAAATCCTTCAGCTACATTTAACCACATTTCAGTTGTAGGTTCGGGAAAACACTCCATTTTCATTACATCCCATAATGCATCACACACTTTTTCTACAATATTTCGTATGGTTGATATACCAAGTCGATAACTGTAATGCAGATCGGTAAAGGAACACCCTGTGGCCAGGTATCTGAAACAATATATTTTTTTATTACAGGGCGCTCGCTACAAATAAAGTGGAAAAACCTTCGAGACGCCTTCATGAAGGAGTGTCGAAGACAAAAAAATATAAAGAGCGGAGCAGGAGCTAAGAAAAATAATCAGTATAGATTTTATAATCAATTGTTATTTTTAAAACCTTACGCTGGAAAAAATAAAACTCAGAACAGTTTGTCTGCAGGAGACGATGAATCAGTCGGGGAAGGTAATGAATCAGTTGGAGGACCATATGAAGACAGAGCCTTAGGTACTAAAAGAAAGAAATCTGATCCTGCTGAAGAAATGACGCGAGAGTTAATCGATACCCTGAAAACTTCAATAAACAAAAAAGAAAACGAAGAAGATCCTGACCGACAGTTTATGCTCTCTTTGGTGCCTGATTTCAAGAAAGTACCCGATCGATTAAAATCTGTCGTGAAAATAAATATAATTAGATACATATCACAAGCTCAGGATGAAATGTACAATTATAAAGAGTCAGGCGATGCTACAATGTCCTATACTAATAATCAAAATCAGGGTTATTATACGAATACTTCATCATATGCGCACCAGCAAAACGAGCAAGGGACCTCTGCTGCCGGAATTGCAGATAATATTATAGAAGCAATACCAGCAACACCCACCACAGTTAATTCAAACATTACTGATGAATCGGAGATTTTATCACTGTTTTAAAACCATAGTGTGCTCATTGCACGGAAGATAGAAAGCTGTGATTATGTTAATTAGTTTAAGGTAGATACATAAATATGTACGTGATTGATCCTGTGATAAAGAAAAAATTACTGTGATTTGATTACTAAATAAGAAATTATGCTCATTGTGCGGAAGATAGAAAGCTGTGATTATTTTAATTAGTTTAAGGTAGATACATAAATACGTGATTGATCCTGTGATAAAGAAAAAATAACTGTAATTTGATTACTAAATAAGAAATTATGCTCATTGTGCGGAAGATAGAAAGCTGTGATTATGTTAATTAGTTTAAGGTAGACACATAAATACGTGGTTGATCCTGTGATAAAGAAAAAATAACTGTGATTTGATTACTAAATAAGAAATTAAAATTACTAATTATAATTAGATGTAGGTACAAAAATCTAAAAAATCTTCAAAAAAGACTGAGGTAGATTTAATAACAAGAATAATTGACAGACTGATTATTTAAAGTAATAAAAATATAAAATGGAAAAATGTGTATTTTCTTCTTCACTTACCTCAAGGTCACAAGAAGCTTTTCTTCCGGCGAAATACAAGGACGCATGTTTGTATTTACTCCAGAAATTGCTTTCCTTATTTTTGCTAACAAATAATCAAATGAAGAAGTGGACATTCGCGTATAATTAAAAAAAATATCTTCGTATTTTCTCAAACTTTTATAGAATAACATGAATGACCCATTTAGAGTTCTGCTTCGTAAAAATGGATGAACCCAGTATCTTCTTATTTTTTTCTTTCTGCGCCATAAAAGCCAGATTGCTGCCACCACTTCAGCGTCCATTCTTGCCAGCGTCTGCAATCAAACTGGTCAAAACCGCGTTAAATCCATCCGCGCGTACAGGCGCGTAAACCGCCTTACCGCGCGGTGCACCGCTGCGAAATCCGCGTTACCGCCACCGCCCTCCGCGGCGGTGCGCGGTGCCGTGTGATAATCGCCTAAGGTTTATTCATTGTTATTGCGAAAATTAACTACAGTTAGATGAAATTGTAAAATTTAATTATACCACGCAAAACCTTACTATACAGGGTGGCCGGGGAGGCGTAAACTCCCCGGCCACCCTGTATAACCACATTATTTTGTGGTATAAGTATCATCACAATGGTGCTGATGACACTATTCACAGGTACTGTGGTTCTTTGATGCAACCGGAAGTATTCAGTTTCATCTGCACCATTAATGTTAAAATCCAATAGTGCATTCGGTACAACGGCAAAAAAAACGACAGCTTGCACTCTGGGAGTGCCGGCAGAAGTGAAAACTTGAATATTAACGTTGTGCATTTTTGATATTTTGGAATGGTTAGGGAATAATTTATATTAATTTTAATTATCAGTATAAAAGTGGTCATTAATGTGGTAGAATACAATATTTATTTATTGCGCTATCGTACACAAACATGACAATTTATATTACACTAGCGGACCCGACAGACGTTGTCCTGTCTACACGTCTTTGTAAATCTAAACCATTCTCAGATCCCCTTGAACACACACAAAAAAAATCATCAAAATCGGTCCAGTCGTTTAAGAGAAGTTCAGTGACATACACACTCACAGAAGAATTATATATATAAAGATTAAAAAAATTATCTCAATCTCAAATCACATTTAAGCGCACCTAGCGACATCTATTGTAAAAAAAATACATTTTCTTCGCAATAAAGCTGCCACCTGGACGTCCTAGATAGAGACTTATTATTATAATACGATAAAATAAAATATTACTAAATTTCGTCCAATATATTGAAAGCCAACAACCTTTCCAATTTTATTGTTTTCACTTCAAAAACTCATTAATATGTAGATTCCATCTTTATTGGACTACGTTTAACATAAGAAGAGAACGAATTAAACCATTAAACTGTTGGATTAACTATTTAAAATTGTACTTTGTTTATTTTGAGACACATATTTAAAAACTCTTTACAGCGATATGAACATGTGTTGAATACGAAACAGCCAATATGAATAAATTCTTCCTAAACTCATAGCCACAATGAAGTCTTTCCAGTTTCACAAGTCGTACTTGGCTTACTAATGTGACCTCTTTCTTTCTAAGGTAACGACGCAGATGAAGAGAATAGCATACCAGTGATAATCCAGACCCTACCAACCGTTTACAATGTAACGGTGGGCAAGACTATACGGCTGGAATGCAGAGTAGAACCGTCAGGTCAGTACCTAATTTAATTTTTATTTATTTAGGATAACAAACAATTGTGCAGTATTGTATGTAATGTAGTAACGCTATTAAATATATTGCTGCCATTACACAACCAACACCGTTATCCACTAAAAATATATTACAACACAGGGATTATATTATTATATAACTTTGTAATATCTATTCTAGTTGCAAATCGATAGTATAATTTAAAAGTTATAAAACATAATTTTTATATGTTTGGTAAACAATCAGTAATGGCGTTTTTATATTAAATAAAAGACTTTGTAAACAAGTTCATATCAAAATCAGATAGGTTGTCATTAAAAAAAATCATTATTTGATGTAGGGGAATCATAATCTTACACAAAAATTGTAAATGTTCACCAAAAAATAGAACTGCTAACTTTGTATTAAACTTTCATGGTCAATAACATTATAGTATTTTTTCTTGGTAACGATCCCGTAAATAACATAAATTATTATAACTGCCAACTTAACCTCATCTTTTGCATTTTTTGGTGAACATTTAAATATGATCCGAAATGTTTATAGTAGGACAAAGGCATACTCGTAAATTGCTTGTTCAGGGGTTGTACTTAGGCACTCTTAAAATGATAATATCGTACCGGTGTGCAAGCCACTCGAATTATTTTCCCATATGATAGCGCTACACGTCGCACGTCACAAACAAAAGGGTATTATTTAAATAACAGTGTTTAAAGTTATCGCGTTTTAAATTTCATAAATAAATATAGATTCAGAACTACTAGTTCAAATGTTTAAAATTATACCTAGATTTAAACGTACTATTCTTTCTTCGTGCTGTGTAAGTTAAGTTAGTTTATCAACAGTAGTTTCAATTTTAATAGTACTTTTATGAGACTGGGTAAAGAAGATGATACCCTTTAAGCAGTTCAAATAGCCCAGATGTTAAAATTACGACTATCTTGCTTGACCAAAATTCACTGTATTATATTGATACCGAGTAAATAACTCTTTTCCAAAAAAACGTATGTCATGTTTACAATTTTTAACTCCCGTACAGTGCGACCACGATCTTGGGGCACTTAGATAACTAGTACTGATGTTGAATAAGTGATGAAATAATATATAATAATAAAAGCCTTATTGACACGTTTCCCTTTAAATAAAAGGCTTATTTATACCTTACTTAACTTAGGTATGCTTTCGCACACGCTTTCTCTATATGAATGAGTAGGAGAGGTTGGTGTCAAGTTTACAAAGAGAAAATACCAAAAGCCATGTTACAGAGTAAATTTTCGCAAAACAAAATTCTGTCTGCACAATTTCTAACAATTGAGAGCGTTATTTATAATTAGACTTTAACCCAATTTATTAATTATCCAACCACGCATAGCCGCCATCCGACTACCATATTTGAAAGCAGACGGAAGCTCCTTTACGGAACCTGGACGGTTTTGGCGCCACAGGATACGCCGCCATCTTGTGAATCAACTTTTTAACGGCCAATCATGAGTCATGGTCGTCTATTTTTCGGCGCCTATTATTTATTGCACAGTTTATTGTTTAATTCTTAATGGGCTACGTGCATCCCATTGTGATTCTATGCAGATCCATATTTTTTTGCATTGTTGTCTACTGTCTACTTTCTATGATTTATTGCGTGCAAATCGTGTTCGATTATGCAAAATTATTCTTGAAATAAAGCCTCATTGCTTGTAGAACTACAAAGTGTGTTAATTTAACTGCGATGGCCCACTGCGGTGCCTAATCGGAAGACCTGACTCAGTTCTTGTTTGTTTGTGAAAGCTAATTTAAGAAATGAAATCAAAGGAAGTATATTAAGGTACGCTTTATAAATTTTGGTAAAGGAACACGAACCTACGAATCTTCCAGTAGGAATACCAATTACTACTAATTAAGAATACAAATTATTTTTATTTGACGTCTTATTTCCAGGTCCTTCTCTTCGTCTTCCTGTCATTCAGTGGTACAGAAACGACCAGCTCCTCTACATGGGTAAAATGAATCTTGCGCCTGATGCCGAACGATTTTCACTGTAAGTAATCAATGATTGAACTCAAATATGGATTGATTTATCGCTTATTGGTTTGCAGACTTATTTGTTCCAAAATATATTTTATGTATATTCTTCAAAATTATTGTTCACGCGTTTTGTATCCTGTAAGATGAGGAGCTGGAGTGATAGAAAAACTGCTGCTACAACTGCCTTCGCATCAGCACTCCATCACAATCAGTCGCCTTTAGAAAATTTAATCCTTTCATCTGTGTTTCATCTATGATGTTTTCAAGTTATAGACACGTCATACACTCTTCTAATTTGGCAATAGGAAAGTCAGGTAATTGCCCAACTGGAATTCAGTCGGGCATGCTCTCTCGGCGCGGCTACACTTTGCTGCAACGTGTAAATATTTGACGTTTTTCCAGACAAAAAGCCCTATGCGTGTTTTTAGATAGTACACAAAATACTCGAGAACTATTAGCCACAAGAAAAACTTGTCATTTCATTCATAAGTAGAGTTTTAAAGTAAAAATTGTAAAAAATCTAGTGATTGTTATTTTACCAGTTGCTGATACCGTTGAGCGAGATAAAATCTGCTTTATGAATGAGAGCAAAAGAGACGTCTCTAGTGCACTCTATTGGCGGCTGTTGCCAAGGAAAGTTGGGGCGAGGACTAATTTTGCCATTTTAAAATATTATTGCATTTTAAAATGCTGCTGGCGTATAAACTGTGTATATATTATACGCCATTGCCTTTCATCAAAATTCTTTTTGGTGTTTCTTCTAGCAGAGGATCTCAAAATGTTTTTTTCTTCTGAAATGTTACCGGTTTCCTTAGTCTCCCTCTTAGATTTCCATCATGTTCCCAAAACTCGTTAAAAATGTGAAGATTAGAAAGCAATGAAAATTTTAGCCACAGCCGAGACCCAGCAGGACCACCTGGATCACTTATGAATCATTTTAGTTAAAATACAACAATTTCTTAAGAAAATTTTACTAAAATTTCCATTGGGTTTCGGAACCAAACTGGATTGGAGCCTACACTTTTCGCTATCCGGGCGGACGCAGAGAACGGAAAATGTCGCTTCAAATACTGTCTGATGTCTGACAAGAGTAGATATTTTTCAAATAAAATTTACTTTAAATTCATACATCTAGCAATTCAATGTTTGAAATGAAAATTTTAAATCAGCAACCATAGAGCAATATGGAAGGGAGACATAATAATATCTCTTATCTATTAGACAAGTCCGTCCGTCCGTCCGTCCGTGGTGCTGTTTCAGCGGCCAAACCGTAAGAGATAGATAAAGAGAATGTTTAAGTTATAAGTTGAGAATAGTCTGATAAGACTACAAACCGGATGTGAGTAACGTAGCACTTCCGGTTTTCGAGAAATCACGTGATTTCTATTTCAAACGAAACCACACAAAATCTCCGAAGTTCTCAATTAATTAAATACATTTTTTTTGTGAGCATTTGGTTCACTGGTTTGCTAGTAGTAATATAATTGAAATTGTTCTGACATTTGTTGCGGGGGAAATATGCACATAAACGCAGTTTAAAGTACACACATATAAAACCAAACTGTAACTACAACACTCATACATAAACAATGATACAATACATCGCCAAATCCTGTATCGTTTGTATGCCCAACTTGACAGTGGGGAAAGCTGTGTATGCCTACTCCCCTAGCCGCGGCGGTCGTGTTGATGTATGTAAAAATTTTTTTTCGATAATTCATCATCATCATCATCATCAACCCATGTTCGTCCACTGCTGGACATAGGTCTCCCCTAATGCACACCACTGCTCCCGATTTTCTGTCATTCTCATCCAGCCTACGAATGTCATCATCCCATCTTGTCTCAGGGCGTCCTACACTACGTTTACCGAGTCGTATTTACGTTTTTTTTCATAATTATTATGGCTAATTTGTCATTCTTTGTTACCACAGTGCTAACAATGATCTTCTGATAACCGACGTGAAGCCATCGGACAGCGGCGTCTACAAATGTTTGGTTGTGCAGGCCGAACCGATGCTCATCGAGCACACACTATCTGTACACGAGGCACCGAGGATAGTCCGTGAGTAAAATATGAATTTCTATTTATTTAACCTTATGAGAGGTCTGGGAAACTAACCTCCACCTTATTAAATACCACAGTAAAATAACACTACTTTTGTGATGTGTTTATGACTGCGACCTAAGTTATGATATTAAAAAAATATTCTATACAAACCTTGTCCTGACTATAACGAACACTATAAAAAAATAACCAATTCAGTCGTTTGGTACTGAAGCGCTTACATATTTTCGAAGATTCATCTTTATATATATAAACAGATATGTGGTGTCGATTCTGACATGATTCTCTAAACCTTAACTTAAATTTGACAACAGTGTATACTTGTCATTCTCCTTAGAGAATGAGAAGAAGCGATTGATGTTCAATTAAGTTTTAAGTTTAAAGAAGCCTACCTACCTTGCCAGAGTCGACACTGTCATACCATCTTATATAAACACAAAAAGTGTTTATAATATTTCTCCTCATTCCTCAGAGTTAATCGCTTCAGACAACGGTACTGTGATGGAAGGCGCAGACCTCCTGCTCACATGCGACGTCACTGGTTCCCCACCACCTCAGATCATGTGGTCCAGGGATACTCCGGTCGGTGTAAGTATTAAAGAAATGAAATAGCAACTGCCGTAGTACACCAATAGTGAACAAATAGTTGTGTTACCAACATAATATTATGTAAGTCTTCTCTTAATTTAACAGGGGACTCTGATTAGTACTTTTTTTTGTAAAACATTAAGAAGAAATTATTTTTTTATTATTATTAGTCCTTTAAGGAAGGTTACTTTCGAGTGTCCAGAGAACTGAATCCCATCACCCCATAATCCCATCGTAAGTTATTTAAGAACTGTAAACAAATTCAGGAAGATCAAACACGGGAGAAGTAATTGTCAAATTTCAGCTATGTACAATAGCGCTATCTTTCAATAATGCATTTGGAAAATATATATTTCCAAATAACGAACTCGATAGAAGATTGTAAACATTTTCTAAAAATAAAATCGAAAGTTATATCGATATGAGTAGATAAGGCAATTATGGTGCAGAGCTGATTAAATGATCATGGAATACTTGTACAGAAAACAGTGTTTGAGTAATAGAAAATAATAGAAACATGTCATGGAAAACGTCGCAGGCTCAGCAGTCTTAAAATAATATTCGCACAAATTGCTTCTGCAAACAGCTAAAATTCTATTTAGTTTTACAGCTGTTTCGCTCATAAGCAAGCATCATTTCCTTGACGTTCACAATAAGAGAATACTGTCTGACGCAATCAAATAAACTCTGCGTGGAACGCTAAGTTTAGCCAGTACGCGAGGAAATGTAGGAATAGTGATCTCTCCATAATTATTATGAGTCACTGTTTTATTTGTTGAAATAATAATGTACGTAAACACAGGCTTATTAACTGCAACCAGCAACATAGATACTTTAATATCTTTAGATGTGAGAGTCACACTTTTCGCATAACTAGTTGTTATTGTTTACTTTTCATGTACATGATTGATGGAAGCTATGTGTTGTCTTTATATGAATATATTTACATGAGGTCATATCTTATTACTAGAAGAATAAATAACCTTTATTTATTATCATTTGGTCTTCAACTCTTTCATCTTTAACAGCTGTATAGGTGCACCCGTTGTTTTTTAGAATTTTCCAAGCAAATTATTTCTGGTTGGTGAAACTTTTCCACGGGCTATTCAGACTATTCTGCTAACACCCATAATAACTCTATATGTCAATATGTCTCTAATCACCATCTTCTTATATTTCGGGCCACTTGTACCGATATTCTTAACTCTTAATCCAGTTCATCATTCATTTCATCCTTGTCAAGTAGGCCTAATTTCTAACCCCTTATTAATAAACGAAGAATACGCTGGGATTAGTTACTCCATGTTTTGTCTCTGTCTATTGAATAGCAAATGGCATTTGAGTGACATGAACAAAACACAGCGTAACTAATCTAAGCTTATTTCTTGTTTATTAATAAGGGTGAAAGTGAATAGATCCAAAAACCCTTCAACTGGGCTATGAGGAGTGGGGTCATGACACTCATGACTAGTTCTCTCTACTGCTTCTATAAGAAATGCCTGTCCCTAGCAGTGTTTACTAGTAGTGACAAATGATGGTATTGATGTAAGTTATAATTGGATACCCCTAGAATATCATTCACCTCATAATTAGGAATTACTTCCCCATAAATTGATAAAAACTTCATCATAATTTACCAACAGAACAAGCGCCTGCAAGAAAGGGACGGCAACTTCTCACTGAACAGCGTATTAATCCACGCCATCAGGCGCGACCAAGCCGGCAAGTACTACTGCTACATCATCAACGGTGTTGGCCACGCACAAGCTGATATCAACATTAAAGTCCTGCGTAAGTTAACTTACTAGTTAAATATTCTCTAAACTACAATAGGTAAGTACTCAGTCAATATCTGATAGCTTAAAGAAGCAGGTTTTCTATCCCAATTAGGGTTACCATTGATGTGGATATATCCGGATATGCCCAGACTCCAGCTTATTGGTTAATTATATGCATATTGAAAAGTAAATAGTGTCAAGATGTCAAATTAATATCAGTTTTACGAAACTACTTAATTTAAATATTGTCGTCGCATCGCATAAATTCAAACCTCTGTGGTTTTATGATGCGATTGATCATAACATTATAATTGTATTTCTTTGAAGCCTAAGGGAATTTTTGTGTGGTTAGCCTTTAGTCTTGCGATCATAGAAACTGGAATGAACTCAAGATACTTTGAGTAAACTTAAAAAATGGATTTATTTATTATTAGAATTACTCTCACTTCAAAGACTGATTCCAACTAGACTATAGTGCCTAAAGATACCACAAGCTTGCAAGCAAACTAATAGCCGAGGTATAATTTTCGATTTATTCTTCATTGTTCCCACTGAGCTTTGTCCCACAAAATATCCTATTATTATGTCCTATTTTGAATTCTTCGTTTGATCCAAAAACATTTTTGATAATTTTATTCTGGGTTTGTCCCCACTCGTATACTTATTTCGTTTCGTATAGATTATATCTTTATATATATAATTCTTCTGTGAGTGTGTATGTCACTGAATTTCTCTTAAACGACTGGACAGATTTTGATGAAATTTTTTGTGTGTGTTCAAGGGGATCTGAGAATGGTTTAGATTCACAATTTTGTCCGCTGGACAATGTTTTTTTAATTAAATTTTTTTATGGCGGTACGAAGTTCGCTGGGTCAGCTAGTATTTTACATTTCAAGTACAGTCAGCCTAAAAAGATTTATTTTTTAATTATATTTTCACATATTTTAGATAAGCCGAAAGTGCACATTCACCAGACTGCTGTGAACTCAGCAATTCAAGTGCCGGCACTGCTGCAGTGCTCCGCTCATGGGGACCCTATGTAAGTATTTTTTGTCTTTAAAACGTTCAATGAGGTATCTCCTTTTCTTTATCATTACATTATCGTCATCACAGTCTCTTCTAGCTTTTGTTCGGCCTTTATTTCCCTGTATGCTGCCGTCTCTAGGAGCGAGCGAATCGCAACGGTGCCGTTATCAGAAATCAATATATCTTTATTCAAATTGGATATATAGTAGTACTCTTTTGAATCGTCCAAATTTTCTTTTTCCCTACCACTCGGGAATATTTTTTAGCTGTGGAGAAAAACGAGCGAAAAAAACCCAACAACTCCAAAACCCAAGCATTTTTGTCTGTAATAATGTGCTTGCCGTGCCGTGTTTCTATCGTCGGGTAATCTCCACGAATTAATTCGATTAAAGTGATTATTTCACCAGCGTATCGTCGCCACTCGAAACGGAATCGCCGCAGTTTCCTTGACGAAGCGTTGTGCTGTTACTTTTTTCAAAGAGTTCAGTTAGGTGCCAGAAGTAAGCGCAATTCTAACTGATAACCGCAATTCAGTTATAACTTAAACTATTTCTAAGGGAAGCTATACATACTGGCGCAGTAACGCGTAACGTAACGAAGTGGTTTACCCTCCATTAAGACGTTATTACTTCATCAAAGAAATAGATTAAAATGAATTCCAAAAAGATTTCCCGAAATTCAAAAAAACCCTAAAGGATACGCACGGCGTCAAGTATGGAATAGTGCGGTAAACCGTTTTAGCGCACGCTCCGTTGTATGGCCCGTAATTTTGAACTTTCGAACAATGTATACAACCTCTGTAAATGCATTTTTTGAGCAAATGTGTTGAAAATTTATTCTGCCTTTTACTTTCTCCTCTTCAGCCCTTCGATCTCGTGGTACAAGGACGGTAACCTGGTTGAATCAGACAACGCCCTATACGTGATCGCGACTGATGGCCCCAACTCCAACCTGACTGTTGTGCCCCAAATGGACCAGGACTTTGGCACCTTTACATGCGTGGTAAGTTTTGTTTTATGCCAGTAGAGATAAGCTAGGGATAATTATGATATAAATCGCGGTTGCTTTTTGATTGGATAAAAAATTGTTCTCCCCTATGAGAAATTTTCATTTATTACATTATGGCGCGATTAAATTTCGTCGTTAGCCCGAATACGAGTGCCAATGGAATTCGGGTAAATGACTAAGTGTAAATGAACGGAGTTGAGTATGACCATATTCGGGTAGTTTTCATTTTGGTTACCCGATATCGTCTTACAGCCTGTATTCCAGTGTAAATATTGTTTCGAGTAATATCTTTCGTGCACCCGAATACGGGCTAAAGACCATGTGTAAGTGAGCCATTAGAGTTAAGCTAGCGATAATATTTTGTAGTGGTCGCCTTTAGGATGAAATTTGCAAAAGCTTGAATTTTTCAATGGGCAAAAAAGTGTTTGAAAAGGAGTACGGAAATTTTTCCTTTACGTATTATATAATGGTCATTATGACTTTGGAGTATATTTTTGTGCTGTCATTATAGAATTTTCAAATTAACTAGTACGAACTCTATATAAAATTTGATATTTCAAATCGTTAGACGTTAGTTAAGGTATTGCATAATAATGTGTATGTACAAACCATAAAGAAGTTTAGCTAATTAATTACGCAGTTCTTCCTTACTTGTAGTTACATGTGGGTTTAAAATTTTTAAATTTATATTAAGTTCATACCAATAATATATTTTAAGTTTTGTGATGATCACCCTGGACCATTGAAACAGAAGGTAGAATAGTAGTCGTCTCATCAAAAAATCATCTTATCACCTTTCATCCGCAGCATATAATAATAATAATAAAATTGCTCAACAACACTAGATACATTAAAGATTGAATACCCTGATTTCTATGCTAGGATAATAAATCCTGTGTTACAGAAATCAATGTCTTCTCCCAAAGATATCTTTAAAAGTCGATTACAATTAAGTAAATATTTCATTTCCTGAATGTATGTGTATGTTTTACTACATTATTAGTAGACTAGTGGCCCGCCCTCGATTCGCTTCGGTGTAGAGCTGTAGTGTAAACTATAGTATTTGTTCTCAGGCTAGTGCTATAAACAATGACTTTATTTATATAATTTCACGTGTTATTGTGAGTCAACCATAAAAGATAGACATATGCTGTTGCGGGATATTTTTTAGACAATTTTATGTAGAATATTTCCGTTATACATGATTTCTATGTAACTTTAACCATTAAGGCTGCACACGCGACGGAAGCTTAAAAAATGGAGTAACTTCTCCCGTTTTCCCAACATTTCCCTTCACTACTCTGCTGCTATTGATTGTAGCGTGATGAAAAGTATACTATAACCTGCCCAGGAGTATGAAGAATAATTGTACCAAGTTTCTTTAAAATCCGTCGAGTAGTTTTTGTTTCTAAAAGGAATATACACACAGACAGACAGACAGACAAAAATTTTACTGATTGCATTTTTGGCATCAGTATCGATCACTAATCACCCCCTGATAGTTATTTTGAAAATATATTTCATGTACAGAATTGACCTCTCTACAGATTTATTATAAGTATAGATATTGCGCTTATGAAAATGTTATAGAATTTAAATACATATTCTACGTTATATAAAACCATAAATAATTAAATCAACACATAATTTTGATTTTTGAAGATAGATTTTTACAATGCAGTTTCAAATAACTTAAATATGTAATAGCAAATCAACATGATTTTCTTAAAACAATACTGTACAATTTCAACGGTTTCCATATCACGTAATGTTAATAACCAATTTCTAATTGTAGACTGACCTCGCAAAAAATAAGCGAAAACATATCTAATATTTTATTTTAGTTATTATAAAGTGCTCTAGCTAGATATTTAACTACCCGTACAATTTCTCAGGCTCGCAACAATCACGGGCGTCACAACAAATCAGTGGAACTAACCCAGAGGCCTGTAGTGGGCGCGATGGACGCGGAGGGCAACAAGCTCACGTGGAGTGTTCACTCCCACCTGCCGCTCGAACAACTGGAGCTGCAGCTGAGGGATATGGGGGTGAGTTTAAAGACGATCTTTGTGATTTTCCTCATCATCATTAGCCTATTAATGCCCCACTGCTGGGGCACAGGCCTTCCCGGTGGATGGAAGTGGGAGATTGGGCCATGACCCACCACGCGGGCCCAGTGCGGATTGGTGGGTGCTAACGACTGCAGATGCAGCCGGGACCAACGGCTTAACGTGCCTTCCGAAGCACGGAGGAGCTCGAGATGGTAATTTTTGGTCACCCATCCAATGACCGACCACTGCGAAAGTTGCTTAAATTCAACGATCGCAGCCGAACGCGCCAACCACTTGTGCCATTGAAATACCAACCTTCTAGAAAGAGAGAAAGCCAGCTGGAACAAGGCGATGAGTATACTAAAGGAGCTTGTTATAGACCTTTACCATATTCTAGATAGCTTTTGATTATATGGACAGATCTCATGCACAGACCACCAAGACAGACCTTATAGTCGCACTCCATTGACCATGCACCACATAGCCGAAACACATAAGCACACCCCATACACACACCTTACAGACACACCCCACAGATACACTCTATAGACAGACCCAATAGACCTAGCAATAGACAGGGATGTGTCTAACATCCCATAGATACACCCCATAGATAGACAGACCATATAGACCTAGCCATAGATCGGCCCCCATAGACGCACCCCGTAAATACACCCCATAGCCAGAGTATAGACAAACCACACAGCGGAGATGGACGCGGAGGGCAACAAACTTACGTGCCTTTGGTCACACATTACAGTGGCATGCCTGCCCTGCCCACAAGACCCGTTGGACTTTCTGTGTTCTGTGGAATACTTAGTCCGTTCTTTCTATCTGTATGCCCATTCTTCATCCTTATTTATGTTTTCCGGGGTTACTCTTAACCCTATCTTTTTTTTAATTTTGTGTAAAAGCAAAAGATTTCTTCGCCACCAACGACAATATCTGTCACTAAAACCTCTAACTTTAAATTGTCTGAATTCTGTATATCTTTAATAATAAAACAATTGCTTTCTATTGCAGATGGGAAACCTAACGGCTATCAACATCCCAGTCCCCACTGCCAATGGTCACGAATACGATGTCACATACGTTATGGACAACCTGACTCCCGGAAAATATGAAGCTGTAGCCAAAGCCAGAAACACTAAGGAATGGAGCCGAAACAGTGAAGCAATGGTCGTCGAATTTGGTAAGAATATCAGAAAACCTTTAAAACATATCTTTTTAAACGATATTTTGTTATCAAAAACGAACTAGGACCAGCAAAGGCTAAGCTTTTCTCTCATTGGAGAGATTGTATTGCTGTCGTTAACTACGACCAATGACAGCGCTCCTTCTCATGTGACGCAGTTTTTTGATTCAACGTCTTTTATTTAGCAAAGCTGGCTGTGACTGGTGGAGCACGTATTTATTTCAATTATTAATTTATTTTCTTACACTTATTTGCGCAAAGAAATAAAGGTATAATGGCGGACTTAATGCCATTAAGCATTGTTTATTTTTTTCACATAGTTACTCAACTAACTTTACAATTATAGATTCCATTTTCGCTCAACCTCAGTTACTTGGCCATTTTTATATCATTTTTTAAGTTTGTAACGTTTGTAATGTTTCATTTATTTATTTAAAATGTGAATAATTGTTTATCAGAAATATTCTGTTTGATCAAAGACGCTTCTTTACTATGTCGAAAAGTGCGTACAAAGATAATAATATATAAGTTATTCAAGCACGTTTCAAAATTGTGTTAATTATGTCATAAAAATTAATCTGTTAATTTTTTGGTTTTCATATTTTGTACGTACCCACAATATAACGTAACTTATTTTATGTTTTTAACAAAAAATGCATGTTTTTCATTTTGCTTTCTTTTCTTTTTGTTTTTTAGAAGCACAGCCAATGTACATCCAGCATGCTTCAGGTGAGTTGCATTGTTAAGCTTTTTTATTATAGCCCAAATTTTTATTTTTCGTAAATTTTTGTTTCGCTCGAAAGTTATATTTTTTTTGTCAATTCAATAATAAATCGTTCATTCATTTTATAACGCTATTACACTTGGCCGCTAGCCCGAATTCTATTGTCTATGGAATTCGGACAAACGACTAAGTGTAAATGAATGGACTCTAGTACGCCTGTATTCGGACAGTTTTCGTTTTGGTTACCCGTCGTTGTCTTCCAGCACTTGTTCGAGTAAAAACAATATTAACATATTGCATCAGTTTCCCGTATTCGTGTAATGTCATTCGTGCACCCTAATACGGGCTAACGACCAAATGTAAATGCGCCATTAGTGTTGAACTTTAATGTATATTGTCTAGCACCAAGAACGCACAAAGCAAAAAGAACTTTGAAAAACTCAATCATGGATTCGCATTGAAATTGTATTATCGCTTTTGGTAGCGAGAGAAATTATGTTGGTTCTCGATTCTTATAGATTTTTGAGGACCTCGCATTCACTATCGCGTTCGGTTTGCAATCGTTGAACAACTATAGCAATGGCGGCTTATTGGATGGGTGACCAAAAAATATCTCTCGCTCCTCCGTACTTCGGAAGGCAAGTTAAGCCGTTAGCATCCACCAATCTGCACTGGGCAAGCGTGGTGGGTCACGGCCCAGTCTCCCTATTCCATCCATAGGGAACGCCTGTGCCCCAACAATGACAACCTCCGTGGCCGAGTGGTTTGTACACCGGGTTTCATGGTGTCGCCGACTCGAGAGATCCTGGGTTCGAATCCCAGTGGGGTCAGATGTTTGTGTGATGAATACGAGCATTTGTACTCCAGTCATGGATGTTTAATATGTATTTCTATATAAATACACTTATATATGTACAGTATATGTATTCCAGTGAATGTAGTCCAGTGCTTACTTTGGGGCTAGGCTATTTGGTGTGTGTTAAAAAAATGGGGACATTAATAGGCTAATATTGACATATTTTCTCCTTTTCCAGTGTACCATGGGGATTCGCATTCCATCCGGCCTTCCACAATTCTTCTATCAACAGTCTTCATGTATCTGCTCGTACGAATGTTCTAATTACCGACTAGAACACTTATTTATTGTTAGTTAACCAAGTATTTGTGTTAGAAAGAGATAGAACACAATTTGTATGTACGTACCTTTCGATTCTACATATGTGTTGAATATTACGCTATCGAAATGTAGAACTTTGCGAATGATAAGTTTTTTTTTTCTTTAAATGCATTAAATCTTTCAAAGCTTGCATTTTTTTTCGTTGAATAAATAATAACGATGTTGTATTAATTGAACGGACTTTTTGGACTAGTCTTTTACAAAGTTACAGCAAAATATTTTCTCGCAGTTGAAAATGTACCAAACATTTTTTTTACATTAATTAGCTGAAAAAGGAAATGTTGCCTTTTTTGTTAATGCATTATGCTATTTTTTTCTAACCTAGATTTTAAACAAGATTTTATCTCATTTTCCATTTTAATTTATTTATAATCATACTTTCGTCTGAAAAAAACATAGGTAATAAGAAAAATTAAAGAAAAGAGCAGGTTCTAACAGTCTATTGCTGCACAAAAGCTTCAGAGTACAAACCAGTCAAACCCAGTTTTTATATCTTTCGAATTTCTCCTCCTTTTTTATAATTTAATTTGTTGTACAGAATATTGTAATTTTTAAGAAGTATATTAATTTTTATATAAGTAAAAGACCTAATAGGCGTTGTTTAAGGGATGTTACTTAAAAATTTTAAAATATGGCATCTATTAATTCGGAATAAAATAAATGCATTTTTCTTCAGTACATTTTTCTTTGTTAATGTTTAATGCAACTACTTTTTAATCTTTACAATTACTTACCATTTTTTTATTTGTAAATATTATAAATTAATTTACAAGTGAAATTAGACCTAGATTATAGTAATTAATACACTTGCTATTTTAATGGCGAATACCTGTTTATTTTCGTATTTTCATTTCTATTTAAGCAATTATCTTCTCAAATTCATTATTTTAATATTTTACAATGATTGTAGGTAATTATTACCAAAGTGTAAGTAAGAATCACATTTAGTTTTTAAGCGTAATGTCCAGTCTCTTAATTATTTTATTGGTCATATTTTCTTTAGAACGATAATGCTTGAAATTAATATTATATTAAACATGAAATGGAACAATATTGTCCAGTAAATATTAAAAGGTTTTTGGCAATGCTTTATGTGGATATAGTTTAAAAAACCCAGTATATACAAGCTAAAATGAAATGTTTTAAAAATATAATTATATACTTATTAAATAATTAAAAATTCCAAACCTATGCAAAACTACTAAAACTAGTATTTTTAGGCATTATTGTATATATCGGTTGAAATAGACAATTTATACTATATTGTAATAATTACAAAAAAAAACAACTAAGTACAGTTGCCATAATACTATAGATTTTTATCTCATTAGCGAATTGTCGCTTAAGTCTAACCACTGATGAATATGTGCGTGTGTACCCTCATCAATATCTTTAGTATAAGGTACATAAGGTATTATAACTCAGATTACAGAACAAATAATCTGAGTACAATAAGATATACCTAAAACCTACATTATAGAACCTACATACCACAACAGTAACTCCTTTGAATGTATAATTAAGTTGATTTGAAGAGGTCTATAAACTTCACTTTTTCGAGTTAAGCAGTGTTAGATATTAAGCGACAAAATAGTTTGTAAAGTTTACGAAATATTTACCATTACATTATATAAATCGCAATGTGCCTGTATATTATACAAAATGAAGAGTTCCAATAAAAGGTGCTTTATCCTTTCTGTAATCGTGTATTTGTAATCTTCCATTAATGAAGTTAATGTTAGTTTAATATGAATATTACTGCTAGTCTTATCATTATCACAGTTATACACAAAACTAATTGACAAAGCATAAAGGTCTTTTTGATCGCTAAGAAATTTATGGCCAAATTTTTAAGTCAACAAAATGGAAGAAAAAGCCTTTTTATATTTATAACTGAGAACTCCATAGTGTAAAAAAGACTATATGAGTAACTCCGAAAAAAATTGTTTTAAAAAAATGAAAAACTAAATGAAATAAGTATAGTTGAAAAATACGTAAATTGGTTATTATTTAAATTTAATAAACCTAATTTTGGCATTTTGTCACATTAAAATGTATCGATTTATTTTAGTAATGATTTGGTACTTATATTAAAAAAGTGTAGCGAAGACCATTAAAAGGTGGATTTATACATACTCACTAGCGCCGAACTGTGCATGCATCTTAAAATTAGGAGCATCGTATTTAGCTATATTCGGGAGTAGTTCACCAGGAAAATATAATTTCCTCCACATAGGTAATATCGAATATAGAAATAATATAAATAGAAAAAGGTATTTACATTTGAAATACGACCATAAAACTAAACAGGAGCGTTATATGTACACTTTTAGACGTACTCCGAAATGCACAATCAAAATGTAATTTTAATGACATTCAAGTCACATGCTGTCTTATTCTAATTTCATCGCAAAGACACAGACAGCACTACTTTATCACACTCAAAACTTGATTCACGTTTCTTGATACAGCCGTTAAATCTTTTGACAGTTAAATGTTTTCAAATTACTAAATCGTAATTGCGAATGGTATTCATGTATTTTATATGGCAGTAGATTTGATTGTATGCACGCCTATATACCGTATTAACTGCATGGAAGTGGCCCAAAACATATCTACTACATATGGTAGATATGTTCGTCACTATACACGCACACATTGACTGCTTTCACAGAATCTTTGCGCGTAACATGAGCCGTTGCCTTAACGTGATCTATTTGAATTGCTCTATCTATACGTAAGGGCAGGAGTATTGCATGTACGGTTTGTGCGTATGAGCTTGTGTGAACCCACCATAACACAGACCACTTATCACGATCTGTGACAATTAAATGTTAAATAAAGTTAATTCATCTGTAACTTAATGTGGGTGCCTTCACGAATAGTGTACGAAGGTGATATTTTTGTCTAATTAATGACTAAATAAACGATTAATGTTTGTAAATATATTTATATGATATGTTTTATTTCACTCCCTAAAATTAGCGGTACATTTCAGTGGTATAAACCCCGGTAAACTTATTAAACGACCATAAACAAGGAAGCCTGCGCAGTACCAATTTCACATATAAAAACGACAACTGCGCAAGTTTATTTTAACTGTGGTTCTTCTCAATAAGTTTGCCGCTACCTTTATGAGTTATTTATGAGTTATCAATTTGATAATGAAAAAATTAAGATGTAAAAGAAACTAGCAAACCCGGCGAACTCCGTTTCGCCACCAGATGGCTTCTTTTTATGTAACATTTCGTTTGGTGATTAAAAGAAGATTTTTTTTTATAATTTCCTGAATTTTCTTTGCTATAAACCCCACGGAGCCCGAGACCTTTCCAACGAATGCAAAACCGTGGAAATCGGTTCGTGCGTTCTGGAGTTATAGCGTCAGGAAGGAAAACCCGACTTATTTTTATATAGTAGATTACCCACCGACCAATAATTACCGGACGTATGTAATCGGAAAGCTCTTTTCAGGACTATGATTCTTGCTATTGAATTAGTCTCAATTCGCTGTGGGTAAACAGTTATAGCTAAGTGAAAGCGAAACAAGTAAAAAATAATGTTTACGTTTCATCTTTTGCCTCCACCGTACCTGTACCTAATGCTGTATTATAAAAAAAATAAAAAAAAAATATTTAAAATTGAAAAAAAAAATTAGGGGTGGATTACCCTTAATATTCAGGGGGATGAAAAATAGATGTTGTCCGATTCTCAGACCTACCCAATATGCACAACAAAATTTCATGAGAATCGGGAAAGCCGTTTCGGAGGAGTTTAACCACAAACACCGCGACACGAGAATTTTATATATTAGACTAGCTGACCCAGCGAACTTCGTACCGCTATAAAAAAATAGTGGTTGGTGGTAGAAGGGTAAAAATTGATGGTTGTATGTATTTTTGTATGATGTATCATAAAAAAAATAAAAAAAAAATATCTAAAATTGAAAAAAAAAAATAGGGGTGGATTACCCTTAACATTTAGGGGGATGAAAAATAAATGTTGTCCGATTCTCAGACCTACCCAATATGCACACAAAATTTCATGAGAATCGGGAAAGCCGTTTCGGAGGAGTTTAACCACAAACACCGCCACACGAGAATTTTATATATTAGATATATAATTACGAATCAAAATAGATACATACTCGTATAAGAATTCATATTTATAGCCTGAATGAGAAAGAGGAATATAGAGAGCTAATGAATTACAAGAGGGGAGAGGACGTGGCTGTCACAGAAATCACAGAGATACTGAAACTTGCATTTCAAGTACTCCGGAGAATGAGGTTTGGAAATAATAGAAAAAAAAGAGTGTAGAGTAATTTTAACTTTAAAGGAGCTCGATGGCGCCAGTGGTAAACGCGTTCGGTTGCGATCGTTGAAGTTAAGCAACCTTCACAGTGGGCGGTCATTGGATAGGTGACCAAAAATTTACTATCTCGAGCTCCTCCATGCTTCGGAAGGCACGTTAAGCCGGATCCGCACTGGGCCCGCGAGGTGGGTCATGGGTCATAGATTGAGGTATAGATTTTCTAATCCTACTCAAAGAAAGCTTCAATTTGATAGTTTATCGTTCAAATTAAGTATAACTTTAAATAGACGAAATTAAATTTCGTTTAAAATTCGTTACCTTTCGGTAACGTATTCGTTTTGGAGATAGAGAGAGAGAAAATTCGTTACGGGATATGGGGGTCTACCCCAGGTCCCGTAACGAATTGAATTCATCCAGGATGTAACACGAAGTGGACGTCTGCTCCATGTGCTGTACCTACCCCTAGCACGAACTATTATCAAATTCGAATTGTTTGCGTGCCCAAAATGTCATTATCAAATTTTGTATGAAAACCTGAACAGCAGCGCCACAAAGTACGTTACGAGAACTAAAAGTCAGAACACATTTGACAATGACATTTCGTACTCGCAAACGTTACGAATTCGATATTG